TCTAATCAATCAAAGAAATAGCTTCAGATAACAGTCTCTTGTTGCACCCTTTCAGTTTTTGCTTTGTTTTCCTACCTCCGAGGAATATATTTACTGGTTGTTTCCAGATAACAGTCTCTTGTTGCACCCTTTCAGTTTTTGCTTTGTTTTCCTACCTCCGAGGAATATATTTACTGGTTGTTTTCTTCTTTGATCATTACAAATTCTTTTTCACAGGTCCTGCAATGAAGAATAGTCTTTATAATTTATACAGTTGCTTGATAGCAAAAGTAAAGTAGGCCTATATGAAAACAAATTTATTTATATTAGGCCTAAAAGGAAATCAAGTTATAAATATAGTAAATAGATATATATGCAGTATTAAGAAGAAAATAATGGGTACCATAATATTAGTCGTTTAATACATACAATTAAAATGAATAAAAAATTACATTTACCTTAGCAAACATGGCACATAGGAATGAAACCATCATCAGTTCCGTTTTCTTCTTGTTTGGCTGTTTTCGTCAGCAATGGGTCAACTACAAACCATTGTGATTTTATTTTAAATGCCTTTATCATATACATGTATTATACACAAGATACATGGAATAATACGAATAATATTTAGTGAAGCAGGCCAGTATAGTCAGTGGAGAGTTAGTACATAAACATCAGGGACTCGGCGATTTGTATTTTCATTTATAAAATAGAATGTTGAAAAATAACAAATTCTTTGTAAATCACCTTTATACTTAAAATATAAGCTATCAGTACGTGTAATCCTACCTTATTTCTTTATTCATGGTAACTTCTTCGTGTACCTTATGTGGTTTTCATCTTGTCTATATTCGTAACAAGGTATTGTATTTTGATTTATTTGTCCATTCAGTGGTAGTTGAGAGTCCATGCCATACCTGTGAGTTGTAAAACGTATTTAATAATCGTTGAATTTTAGACCAATTTGAACTGTTTGCATAGATTGAATATGCAAAAATCTACTTGAACACAATCAACCCACATCCTAGCCTACATGTATCATTATGGTAATAATGTAAAATACAATAATTATTGAAGAAAAATATCGAGTACTCTGTTAATTATAATATTATTTCTCAGTAGAACATATTTTGAATAAGTTAATTATAGAATTATAGGTCTAAAACAACAAAACATGACATACCATCACTTCGTGTTTTCCTGGGAGGAAAATGGCGACCGACGCTATTGTTTCTTCCCGCCAAACAATATAAACAAAATGACCAGGATACAGTCAAAGTTTACCAGAGACTGGTAATGTTGAGGAAACAGATAGTCAAATTATGTATTGACTAACTGAACTGAAGAAAATGACTTCAAATCTGGTCAACGTGACAAATTTATGTTTTCAGTGTAGATAGTCTTGGGTTTGTCAACTTCAGGTCTAGATCTAGTAAATAAAAGGTGCCTACATATTTTCTCTTACTCCAGAAATATATTGCCATTAAGAATTATAAACCAAAAAATATATGAATTGAATTAAGATTATGTTGGCATGATTGAATTCTGTGAATTTCAAAATGCAGTATTTTCTACCATTTCTACTGAAGCTGTCAAGTATGGGAAAAAGTGGCATTGAATTAATTATGACACATTTACCAGTTATGATGTCATACGAAGTAGGTTTCAACTACGTTAAAAGAAATGTAATGAATACTGTGTGCTAAATCAAAAGTTTATGTCTACATGTATAGTTTTTGCATTATAATGACTGTGTATATTACACTAGCCCATAGCTTTACAGAGCATATTTTTAGGTCTTATACTTACCCCACCCCCTTTCTTATTTAGGAGGAAGTCGATATTGAACAAAAGCAAAAAAAAAAAAAAAAAACCCATACCTTTATTTTTCTATAAGAAGGGATTAAAAATAAGCTTAAAATAATCTACTATTCTACTAATTTTTAACTGTTACTTTGCCACAATACTTTCAAGTTTACCTCCTCCAACATTTAAAGTATGCTTTAATCATGGCGAAGTAAAATTATGATATGATAGTACTTGTGTGAAGGCTTAACTTCATTTCAATATTTTATCTAGAGCCTCTTTCAGAATTATTGAAATGTATAGAGTTTTATTTATATTTTGCTTTTCATTTATTTTATTATTATTATTTTTTTTTTTTGGTTTTGATTTATCGTAATGTTTTTTTTTTTTTTTGGGGGGGGGGGATAAAAATTTCCTCCTCTTTCATTGTCAAATAGGATTTGCCAAACTTAAACAAACTAAAAGTTGAAATGACGGAAAATTTAATTTTTCCTATTAAAGAGTATTTAAGCCTGATTTTTGCATGGTTTAATTTCTAAAAACAAGTGGAATATCATTCTTTAAGCAAACATTATAAGGAGGAATATTAAAAAGAAATTTTATTTACTTGACAATTAAAGAATCTCTTTTCAAACACAATTTTAAAATTGAAAGACTACGTGAATCTCTTTCATTATTTCATACGACTTTTTGTATTTTTCTGGTTACAGAAAATGTAAAAATTAGTTTCGCTGTAAAAAAGATATTAAAAAGTGTATATTTTTTGTATCACTTTAAAGGGGGTCATTTTTCAATGGGGGTCATTATTTTATAGGACTAATATATAAAATAATGACCCCCTAGGACTCTTTTTCTACAAAAAATGATTTTTTTCTACGGGTGGGGGTCATTTTTTGTCGTTGAAAAATGACCCCCCGGTCATTATTCGATGGGGGTCATTATTCGTCTTTACAAACGGCACTTATTTTGATTCTATGCTTTACAGGAAAGCCACTTGAGGGTGCAGAGGTAGGAAGTTTTACCGAATTTCCTTAATTTTGGTGAACTTTCGTCGAACGGAGGTACATTCTCCTACGAACATGGAGCAAAAGCTTGCCTATCTGAGATTTTTATACATAAATTTCATCTGTTACCCTAGTTAGAATGATCTAACTGTGTCTCGGTACAAGCCCTCACCACAGTTAAACCGGGTCCGTAGGACAATATCATTTTAACGATAGAACGTTCTATCTACTGTTACTCGTATATAAAATATATTTGCAACTGGTAGATAAATGGTGTATATTTTCTGAAACAAAATGTGATGTAAAATCGATGAAAATTTGCATTAAAAATGTGGATTTCAGAAATTGACATATTCTCTGACCTTCCTGTGACCTCCGTGTATCCAATAACTTATAGCCAAAACTCATTTTTGGCAGGAGTAAAAACAGGTTTCTATTGAGAAAATAATGCATCATTCTAAAGGACAACCTAAACCGGAGGCTAAAAAGAAGTCTATTTTGTCCTTTTTTTAATATAAAGGACATGTATAAAGAGAATACTCTGCCTCACTAAGTATAGTATGACCCATGAGTCAAAAATTAATATAGGAACCTTTTTAACCAAATAATGTTTCGAAGAAACTACATCAATTCCTTTTAATCCAAATCTATAAATACAGCCGTTTTATTGGTCTTTTTCATAGATTTATCCTATTGTAAGGTATTGTTTTGTCCAACATCATTCATACTAAATGTTACCAGGGGCGGATACAGGATTTGTGGTTAGGAGGGGGCGTGGATAACTTTGTTGAGGCAAGGGGTCTGGGGGCCGCCCTAAGGCCCCCAGTGGGTCCAGGGTGAAGCCCTGGTGAGGGCCCAGGGGGCGAAGCTCCTGGGTTTTCGTGTATTTTAGAGTAAAACCAGGCACAATAATAGTGCATATTTTTCAATTATTTTTGTTAAAATTGGCATATAGGTCCGGATGTTTGAATAATAATTGTATTGAATGTTTTTCAGTTCTCATTGTAGTGTAACACATTCCACTATAAAAAACAATGTACTTACTTATTTCTTACTAATAGTGGTATTGGTTAGTGATGTACCAAAGTACGACGTGTTTAATACTAGTCATATCATACTTTAAATGGTGGCCGGGGACCCAGGGGGCGCAGCCCCCGGAAGCTCCTGGATTTTTGTATATTTTAAGAGTAAAACCAGGCAGAATAACAGTGGTTTGGTTAGTTTTGTACCAAAATATGGCATACTAAATATTAGTCACATCATTCATTGAAAATTTTAGGGGGGGCGTGCGCCTCCCCACGCCCCCCCTTAAATCCGCCAGTGTAAATGTTACTACGGAGTATTCCGTCTACCTGATTAATATATAGGTCTCACGCTGTGACCGCCTAACCGGTCGACATGTGTTCCTTACCTCCTCGGCAACAATCCCCCACTGTGATGTTTCCAAGGGAACATAATTTGCACTATTCGTAACTCCCTTTATTTATTGATTTATGAGATGGGTCACAATTACTATTTGATTTATTTTATCTTTAACATTACACCTTTAATTTTAGAAACAATCCTTGTATGATGTTCTAAATTTTGAATGAACTGGGAGGAAACAAACGCAAAATTTAGGACATTACAAATGCGTTATCTTTTTAGAAACAAATTAATTATTTAGGTTATTTATTTTTATTTTAAAACATTCTTTTTTTTAATATAAGCTGCTTATACTTTATAAAACTTATTAATTTATTATATTAAATACATAACTCACTTAATTTTCAATAATTTTTTAATGTTTTTTAATGTACTATAAATGCAAATCAATTAAACGGGATAATTTAGATTAATTTAAAACATATTTTTAAAACGAGTGTTGTTTATACTTGAAAAAAAAATTTCATTATTGAAAATGTACTGCTTACTTAATTTTCATTTTTTATCAGTTCGTTTCAATGTATAGTTTACACTAGTATACGAAAAAAAACTACTGATACATGCAGATTCGTGTTTTAATAATTTTAATTTTTATATAAATTTTTTATATCACTTTTTTTGAATGAGTTGTTAAAACCTGCTGATCAATAAAAACGTTTACTGTGAGAGATTAACTAGGATATTATGTTAATGCGGGTATTAAAACAAAGGGAGAGTCAAGAAAGGTTCCGATGATATGTCAAATAAGGTCAGGGATAAGTAAACAAAAATATGCAAACAGTGACCAGCAGAACGATATAACACGATACATTAGGTATTCCACCAGAGGAACGATCGCATTAGACTGTCTACCTGAGGAACGTACACATTGACAGTAAAGATGGTTATTTGTAAAAAATGGACATTGGCCAAAAAGTTCCATGGAAAACCTACCCCTGCCGATTTTAAACTGGTGGATGAGGAGATATCGGAAAATATTAATGATGGAGGTAATAAAAAATACATGTATCTTTAACTGTTAATTATTTATCCTTTGCAACAAGTATTTCACTTGTTATCTGTAGGACGATTTGTTCTAAATTCTTACCTGTGTGAAAGATTTTCTAATCAATTTAAAAATGGAGATAGTGATTTTTACCACAAAGGGTTGTTACTATACATGTTAAGTGCTTCCGTTTAGCTACATGTGCATAATCATGATAATTACAGATACTTTAGATTGTGTTATATGAATACATGTAAAATTCAGGTCACATGTTCTTCCGTATCCATAAGCATCTATCATTTGATTTGAGTACACAGTCCTCATCCAGTAAGCCATGAGAAAATTTAAAATGTTACCATTCTGAAAAAATAAATTTTAAAAATTGATTCCGGAAAAAAATATTTAAAAAAAATGAAAAGAAAAGTATTCCAGACTGTTTAATAGAAAAATAGCGAACAGGGAGCTGGTTTAAAAATAAAATTAAATCCAAATTATTTGCATGGTATAATGCTTATTTTTACATTCCTTTTTCATTATTTCCTATTTTAACAGCGATACGAAAATATATACATTTGCATTACATTCTCTATACTCTGTCTAGCTTTGCAAGATTTTTCACTAGTTTAAATATATTTTTGTTAATATTTCAATTTTAACGGATGGAATTCTGTTCAACATATTTATTGCCTCAATTCTTATCCTACATTTTAAACAGCGGCAACTTATATATGTGAATATATGTTTTCTATTTCTCTATGTTGTTACTGACATGTTAGTTTGGCCTTGAAGTAAATTCATACATGTATCTCCTGTTGCTATATTTATTGTAGAGGTACTCTGTGAGGCAGTATGTCTGACCGTGGATCCATACATGAGGTAATGTCTAAAACAAGTACTTGTTCAAATCTTGAAACACACAAGCAAATCATTAAACTAACAAATGTCCACTTTAAAACAGAACCAATATAATGTAACATTTTTTTTTTTCCATATTATTATCTAGAACGGCAGAAGCTATGAATGGTGTTGGAAACACGATGTTTGGTGAACAAATTGCAAAGTATGTACCTTAAAGTAAACAATTTTAATCGAAGCCGCAACCGTTTTATTATATATGTTATTTTTTTACATATGCTTAACAAATTGTCAATTTTACAGGGTTTTTTTCTTTTAATCTTCTGTTTCCATTCAGTGCATTAGTTTATTGAAGAGAAGATGAAAAGATATTATATGATTTTAAAAATAATATAATTGTTTCTCATTTCAGGGTTACAGTCAGTAAGAATCCTAAGTATCCCGTTGGGACAATTGTTCGATTGATGTCTGGTTGGCGCTCACACACCTTGGTAAAAGACGCTGAGAAAGAGATCCGACGATCTGCCGAGATGAGTGATCTCCCTTTATCTCTTATGTTGGGAGTCATGGGAATGCCGGGGTAGGATATTTTGTGCTGCCATAGAATTTCAAGTAAATGAAATATTATATATATTAATGGTTCATACAAAAACCTTTATTTTCATTTAATAAAGTTTAAAATCACCAATTATTGCCGAAAACGTATAGGTCGCCATATGGAAAACCATTCTTTCAAAAGATATTGTTCTGCTGGGTTTGAATTTAAAGAAATAACAGTTGCATTTTGCAAAAACCTATGACATCATAGGAGGATGGAATTACCTTTAGTATTACATATTCTTTTATATAATCTTTCCCTTGGTCGTAAATGGGGCTAGCAGCGTGAGTAACCGACAAAAAGGGGATGTCACAGAATTGCATTTTCTGGAAAACACTATAGCTTTGTTCATGTTGTATATTTTTGTTTGTCAATCATTTTTGTCGAAACCTTTTTATATCATAAACAAAAAAGGATGACAGCTTATTTTGGCTTCCTGGAAATATGTCAACCAAAAGCAGGAGAAACCGTCTTGGTCAGCGGCGCTGCAGGGGCAGTCGGAAGTTTAGTGGGACAAATCGCTAAAATTAAGGTTGAAATGCTTAGTAGATATCATCAAACTTTGGCGTCATTGTCCCATATATATAATTGTTAATATATATGTGTAAATAGAGGCATATAATGATAGTGTTTGTGTCACTGTGTGTATACATGTATGTAAGATTTAATGCTTACAATTAACTGGTAATTACCTAGAAATTAAAATTCAGAATTAAAGACTATTAATGTGATCAAACGAAATAAATGAACGTTGTATGAATTATACATCAAGAACTCAGCATGTACTTAATGATGTTACCATATGATATTTAAATAAGAAAAGATAGAAAACAATTCCTAAAACAGTAATACAATATCAAAGAGCAAGCATTCTATTTTGTAACAATATTCGGACTTTATTACACAGAATTTTTTCTTTTAAATTAAAAAGTAGTCTTTCAGACGTGTTATTACTACGTGTACTTACCTGTTTTCTTCATATTATTTTAGGGATGCAAAGTGATTGGATTTGCAGGAAATGACGAAAAATGTGAATGGCTGAAGAAAGACCTGGGTTTTGATTATGTTTACAACTATAAAAAAGTTGATATAGATACGGCTCTCAACGAGGCAGCCCCAGAAAATAGCATAGATTGTTACTTTGATAACGTGAGTACAAAAAAATCGAAAATTCTAAGTGTGTTCGATTTTTTCTCGCCGATATCTCATTGAAATAATAAGCATTTATTTACTTTCCTTTTTTATTATTAAAGGTAGGTGGGATGTTCACTGTTAAAGCTCTAAATCACATGAAGACGTTTGGGCGAGTTTCAATCTGTGGCTCAATAGCTAATTATAATAGTACTGAAGTTCCAACAGGTATGTACTTACAGAATATAAAATGTTCCTACCTTTTGGAGGAAGATAATTCAATATCAAGTTGGAACGCAATACAAAATTCTTGGAATACCGTAATTTTTTTAGCATTAAAATTGTTTTGACTTGTTTGAAATAGGGCCATTACCATTCATTAACATCTTAAAATCTCAGTTGAGAGTGGAAGGATTCATAGTAATGCGCTGGTATCAAAGATGGCAGGAAGGTGAAAAAGCAATGTTGCAGTGGATAAAAGAGGTACATTATCAAACTGAATGGCCCACGATATCAAATAGTAAAATATTTTTGCAGCATAGTAACGACTCATCAGGAAAAAAAGGATTTCAGTCTCTCAGACTTTGATCTTAAAAATTTGGATATACATGTAGATTAAAGTTTAATTTTTTAACGAGGCCCAATCTAGTTGGATATTACGAAAACGGAATGATAAAAAATTTTGATTTTAGGAAATAAATTTGTATGTATTATGCTAAGAGCAAATAGAATGAAATTTTGTTATCTTGCCTTTGTTGTAGTGAAATGGGGGCACTGACAAGATATGGACCATTTTTCGTGTTTTTATACACAATTACATACTAAAACTCTTCAATAAACAAAGAAATTTACAAATAAAAAAAAATACATGATAAAATTCTTTGTTTTTCACATATATCATGCAATTTTCATTCTTCTTATAAAAAACGAAAAGAAAATTGGAGGTAGCCTTTATTGCAGTGAAAAGAGGGCATGTCAAAACACAAAATTTATAAAATGTTCCAACTACGTATTTTATAGGTCGCAATGGGTTTACATAACACCAACAAATATTGCAATACTGTATTAATTTCTAAAAAAATAAAGAATTCTTACATTATGAAATAATTTTTTATGCTTTATTAAAAATGTTTAACGTGGAGAAAAGGGTTGAAAGGGGGGGGGGTAAAGGCGACAAAATTGCGATTTTTACTAATATCATGTAATATATAGAAAAATAAAATATTTCGGGGGTTCAATTTAAATGATTTATAGATTTATTTTATTTTTTAAAACTGAAGATAATCCATGCATATTTCAAACCGCAATAAAAAGAGTGTGTATAAACACTTCAACATGTTCAAATAGAAAGAATAAAATCGTTTACTTTTAGTTAAAGTGTTTGTTTGTTTTTTTAAACTCACAAATTGAAATAAAACGGGATAAAATTAATGAATCTGTACCAAAAAATTGATCCCTCAAAATAAATTAGGTTCCAAAGTTGTTTATTAATTTAAACATTTAAAAAAATAATAGAAATTTTCAATGCATAGTCTATAGAGCAACCATGTAAGCAAGATCAGCGAAACATTTTAGCGCAAATTGACGTCATTTTAATCTGTGACGTTATTATAAAAATTGTGACGGCAGTCCAGGGTACTGTGACGTGCCTGAGTCGACGCTGCGTTAAAACGTATGCGCAGATCAACTAGATCGGGCCTCGTTAATAGAGAAATATTTAGTTTTAGCTTGTTGAAGTTTAATTTACATTTCAAAAGATGTACATTGATGTATTTCATTTTATTTTTTAGGGAAAAATAAAATATAAGGAACACATTACCAAAGGATTCGAAAAAATGCCGGAAGCCTTTATGGGTTTATTCGAAGGAAGCAATTTCGGGAAAGCTATTGTCAAAGTTTGAATACATTTTGAACGCATTTTAAAACCCAGTTAAAGAAAATTACATTCCTGAAAATTGGATGGAGCTCGTTAGGACTCGATATATCGGCGATTTACAGTTTTAGAAGTTATATTTCAGCTTATTTCATTAGATAAAAAATGTTTACAACACAATGAATAATAAACAATGAGCTTGAAAGATTTAGATTGAAAAAAAATCAATTGATCTAGAATCTTTATTTCCTTTTTTGATTACCAAAATAAATAGCAGATATAAGCAAATAATTTCTTTTTTGCCATCTATTTCACCTTAAATGCAAAGTATTTTGTTCTTAAATTCATGGAAGGGTTCATTTTAAAAAAAAACACAAGTCTATTAGGCTTTTATTTAGGAAAGACCCTCCTCCCCTAAAAAAATGTGTCAAAACATCTACTTCAGAGTGGGCAGGGCGAAAGATCTTTCTCAAAATTAAATTTTTGAGTAATTTTTTCTTTAAATGCTAAAATTAGCCTCTGTAAGACCGTAAAGCAATAAGAAGTAGGAAAGGAGGGCACAAATATTTACATTTGTTCTCAGGAAAAAAAAACCATGGTAACACAATCCCTCTCCCGCGCTATTTTATCGTCTTTTTACAGAAACACAAATTCGGATGATATCCTCCTTGTCATTTTTGGATAAACGGCAAAACTAGTAAACCAGTAGACAATTCTGTGTGATACAATAGCCTATCAATTAGTATGAAAAACTTCAGTAAGCATTCAACTTAATTATAAAATGTACTTGAACATTAAACAAGGTCATTGTCTCGGCTACATATAGAAATGGTAAAATGTTGAGTTAAAAGGGGAACTCTGGTGTCTTTTTTATCAACTTGGTTGTCAATTTATGAATTATTCGTATGTAAAGCATGCATGCTCTTGCTAAATGAATCAACGGAGAGACATGAACTCTGTATGCACGTGGTTAAAGTATATTAATTAAATATAAGTCAAGCACATCTGTTACACATGTGGATAATTTCTAGGATTAATATATTTTATGTTGAACTTTTGTTGTCTGACATTAGTTATGTACTTATAATTATTATAAGTACATAACTAATGTCAGACGACGAAAGTGTAACATAACATACGATAATATATTAAATCAAATGTCATTTGACGTGCAAAAAATTATGAAATTTATTATTGAAATGATTTAGTAAAAATTCTAAAGAAACTTTAATTGAAAAATTGAATTCATATCAAATGAAATTTTATACCCATTGTGTATTGATTCTAAATAAATTTGTTTTAATTTGTATCATCTTGATTTCAATTATTGCAGAAAATAATAGTACATAGAATGACATTTCAAGAATAAACACTTGCATATTCAAGACTTTTGCAATTTCTTTAAATCGCACTTTGCCTTGTACGTCTTTGTCCTTTGACATTTTTTTTATTGTTTCTTAGGAGTATATATGTGCAGGAATGAATATCTACCTCTTAAAATTGAAAAAGAAGACGTTTGTGAAGGCTTCCTTTCATTACAAAAAAAATTTAAAAATTGCTATGCAAGCTACATGGTTCTCTTTTGAGGAAAGTCTATCATTTCACGGTGTTTTAGTTAATTTCAGATTCAAGAAGGCCAGCAATATATATTTGTAAAGAACATTTAATGGTGATTTTTATTAATATTTAATTTCAATCTTTAAAAAAATGTTTTAAAACAAGAGGCCCATGGGCCACATCGCTCACCTGAGAAGCTTTGGCCAGCTTTGACCCCACCCTACCCCACTGATCATAATTTAAACAATTTGAAATCTACACTTATGCTTCCATATAAGTTCAGCTTTGATTTTCAGATTTTTTCTATATATTTCTATGTAAAACATTGATTCCACTTTGCCCCTTGTACGTCGGGGGTTATGATTTCCTTTGACATTTTTTTAAGTTTCAGCTTCTCTGAGTTAGTTTCTTGAGAAGAAGATTTTCAAAGATTTTCCTATATATTTCTATGTAAAACATTGATTCCCCATTGTGGCCCCGCCCTACCCCCTGGGGTCATGATTGAACAATTTAGCTACCTTAGAAAAATGTTTGAAAAAGAAGAAGATTTTGAAGATTTTTCCTATATAATTCTATGTAAAAAAAAAATAAATAAATAAAAATTGCTATGCAAGCTACATGGTTCTGTTTTGTGGAAAGTCTGTCATTTCACGGTGTTTTAGTTTTCAGAGATTCAAGAAAGCCAGCAATATATACGTTTGCCTACATACAAGTAAAGAACATTTAATGGTAATTTTTATGTAATATTTGCAATAAGAAACGTTCAGCAGAATCTTTAAAAAATGTTTAAAAAAAAGGATATCGGTCTTAGGTATAATTTTATTGCCTCTGACAACGCTGCAGAAATTAATAAGCCAAGAGGTGTGGACATTTTGGACGTTCCTTATATCCGCTAGACAACAGGCTTAAGGGACTCCGATCCTCAGCCAGGAAGGATAACTCTTTAATTTATACTTTAATTCAAAAGGTCTCAAAATGAAGCTTGAAAATTAAACCTTTTCTTGCAACAATTTCATTATATTCCTCTCAATCTGCTCCAAGGTTTTCTTTTTTTTTGGAAATCTCAAAAATGTCTTATAAAAAGTCGAAATTTGTACCCCCTAAAAGCATTTTAAAATTACATATATCAATAGATTGATGTTCATTTTAATCTAACCATAGATACCAATGTTTATTAACATGATATGAAATTAGAAGTGATTTATGGAGCTTTGCAATGACAGGAGAATCTTTATACACTTTGCATTGTAAAATGATCGAAGTAAATATAAGAAATTACAGTACATTATATGTATAAAAATTATGGAATTTCTTTAAAAGACTAGATACCTATGATTTTTATTTTTGAAATGTGTTAATTGATCAAATTTGAATTGGAAATTGCATAGCAGGTGTTTTATTCGCAATACCTGAAAATATATTTGAGATTTACTAATTTTCTCTATATAATATGATTAACTTGAAAGCTGAGGTTTGAAGAATTATTATGGGTAAAAACACGTTACTTTGAAAATTCAGAGACATTTTTGTGTACATTTTCAATTGCTCAATGCTTGATTTTCAGAACCTGGGGATCGGAGTACCTTAAAGCCCAATGAAAAAGGGGAGATTTTAAAAGTTTAAAGTTTATTTACATTTATGTGAAAATAGTTACCTAAAAATATAAATTCATTAGTGATATATTAAGTACATGTACTTTCAGATCACGTGATGTTTTTCTAGTCTTTGAAGTTGACATTTACGATGTTTGGTAATTGATGATGCATTTTCTCTTACGATTCATTATCACAATTAGAGAAGATTTAAATAAAACACGAACTCTTTATGATCTATAGAATTAACAGAAAAATAAAACGCAAAACAAAAAATGTCAATTTTCGAGTTGAAATTTTACATGTGGGTGATCAAAGATTACAAGGTTATCCATAAGTAATGCGAATATTACATCATTTTTTTCTATTACGTGTGTGAATCCCGAGCTCAGTATCAATGAAAGTTTGTTCTAATTAGGACTTACACAGTAACAATCATTTGAGAAAGGACCTTCTTCAAAAACTTGAATCTATTAAAAAGTCTCTCAGTCATGTAAAAATCCTAGCTAAAATATTAATTTGTTAGTAGTCTATTAAGTACTTTCAGATCACATGATGTTTTTTAGTCTTTGAAGTTGCTATTGACATATGTTTGATAATTGATGATTGATTTTTTTTCTTACGATTTTATTAATCGTATTTGGAGTCACGTTTCTTAAATCACGAACTCTTAATGAACTATAGAAATAACAGAAAAATATAAGACAAAACAAAAAATGTGAATTTGAGTTGACATTAAAAACATACTATATAATAAATGATTACGAAGCTATAAATTAGTAAGGCAAATATCACATCATACTTTTCTCGTACATTAAGTGGGTGCGCCCCGGGATCAATATCCATGAAGGTTTGATTGAATTAAGGACTAACGGTTATTTGAGCATAAAGCTATTTCAAAAACGTTAACCTATTCACTTATCAAGAAAAAAATTCTGTCAATTTAAACATCTGAAGCAAGTCTGAAAGTGTCATCCTCAGGTTCACCATCCATTTCAGTTTAATCGTAACAGGCCATAAAAGTTAAGAGCTAGTCCAAACAATATCCTGGTCACTCATCAGGAAAAGGCATTTCAGATTCAGCATCTATAGCTGGTATGGAAGTTTCCATCAGTATATATACACCATCCATACTTGTTTGGCTCAAAATTAATCATCTAGAAATGTAGATTAGATCCAGCATCCGAATCAAGTCTGTAAAGGTCCATCCCTAGATGCATCATCCATGCAAGTTTGGTCCAGGTAGAGCTTATAGTTCCCTGGGAATGCTCCAAAAACACTCATCTGAAAAATATAGGTAAGATCCAGCTATCCAAGGAAGTCTAATTATAGAGCTCATCCCTAAACACATAATCAATGCAAGTTTTGTCCAGGTGGGGCTTATATTTACTTTGAAATTAACCTGCTGTTAATGTAGGTCATATCCAGCATCCGAAGCAAGCCTGATATATAGTCTACACTTCATCTTCCATGCAGGTTTGTTCCGGGTAGGACTTGGTCACTTGGGAATGCACCTGCTCCTAAAACTTAAGGACTAACGCCAACACAAAAACTCACATCGACTTTGTCGAAGTGAGATAAAAATGTCTCTACCATTCAGTTTTTCATTTTGTGAACTTTGATCCAAAAGAGATTTACCATTTTGGAAAATATCTTTCTTGCTTGTTTAAAAAAAAAGCTTTTTCGAAATGAAAAACATGCTTATACATGTATCTGAGTAGACATATTGTATGCTTTAAGCGATAAAGTTTTTCAATTCAAAAATAGGGTAAACTTTTTTTTTCTCTTTTTTTCTTTGTAAGAAAACACATTTATTTGAAACATCACTCAAAGAAAAAGATTAAACTTTACAAAGATTTAGAAAGATTTTTTTTTATAAGAAACTACAACAATCTAAAAAGGATCAAATGATAAAAAAAACACAAAAAAATATTCTATTGATTAGAGGTGTTAAAATTTGCTATTGACATTCAAAGTTAAATTGAAATTTAAAGGAACTTTAATTAATGATTGGCTTTGCTAGTGTAGCCTAACAGAACATTATAATATTGACCATATTTATCTAAATAGGGTTGCAAAAATTAATGCAT